GGAAAAAAATCGCTTGTTCATCGCTAATACACAAAAAATTACGGGAGCATTCGCTCCTTACCCCCGTAATCTAACCTCATAGTAATTCATTTTGTTACAATAGTCTTATCAAGATTGTGTTTAATAATTCGTTACCTTCAGTCGCCCACAGCGTCAACGTAACCAATGTGATCTAAGCTTCCCCCCTCCCTCCAGATCAATGGTAAATCTAATACTTGCCGAGGAATCGTGTCGATCGATCGAGACAAGTGCATTGATGTAGAGTGACGTAATGAAATGCAACGCTACTTCTATTTAATTTAACTCAAAGTCGTTGTCATGGCTATTGAATTTAATTTAAAATTACGTAAAAGGATGGCCAGTAAAGCTCACTGTACACCACAGTCGAATACCAACGAACATTCAAATCTCTCACTCAGCAGTCTCATAACCAGGCAAGTGAATATGTCCAAACTTATTCGACACAACTACGAGTCTATTCGTAATAACGAGCTCCACTTTGAATCTCATTGTCGTCTACGCAATTATATTGGCATAAATACTGTATCCTTCAAGTGTTTCCCTCACTCGTGAGGGAAAGTCGTTTTGACGAACGAGCGAATGACATCAATTTCCAACTGGCGATCCAATTCGCGGCGATTGTCGGTCTTCCGCGACAAGTGATCGCGACCTCGACTACGTTACAGCACGTTCCTTAGCGATTTGCGATTTGCAATTTTTTCCCAGGGCGTACGTGGGAGGTAGCAGACATTAGGAATTCGGCGAAACATTGCGTAATTCACACTCGTAGTTCGCGCTTTGATGCGATAAGACGAAGCGAACATCGGCGATCGACCATTTGAGCAGTGTGCGTGGCCTTGAACAGAGTGCAAGGAAGACGCACAATTTGCGAGCCGAGCGATTTGTTAAGTAGGCGATGAGAAAATTAATTATTGTTATAAGTACGAAAGAATTTAATTGTCCTTTGGCCCTCGCTTTACCCTCGGATATTAATTATTCGACAATTTAGAATAATTTTGACTTATTTCGTTGCTTCTAATCTGTCGAGCTGTAGTCTAGAGTTTGTAGCTAGAGATACGATATTTTCTATCCACAGACGATATCCCAATAACATTTTCAGACAATAACTCATTCGAATAAATATTAAAAAACTTAAAAACTTCCCATATAATTGTAATGTAATCTAATATTAAGCATATCATATTGACAAGATATTTAACAAATATTTCAATAAATTGATCTCTTCTATTGTATTAACATTACATATATTACTATTACAGAGTCGACAGGACTTGCTCGTTACCGCACGACAAACGCAATTCCAAGTATAACATTAAAGAGATAGAATATATGCGATTAATTGGGGCGACTCCCTTCGACAGCGTCAATATCCAAAAATCGTCGATCACTCACAGTGATTTATGTTTCAATTTTTCTCTCTTCCTCGTGGAATGCTGCTTCCGCGCATCAAAAAAATATCCTAATACGGACTCGTCACTTTCATCCCGTGATCTCGAATATCTCCACCTCGGAGAACAGACAGGACAAGGACGTCAAGTTTCCCGCGCGTCTCGAAGATCCAACCCGTCGATCCCCGGAAAGAGGATTGACCGAGCGATAAGACAATTCCTTCTCAGAAATGCCAGCGTGTCCGCGGGTCCAAAAGTGCTGCAGCCTGGCTGAATCGAGGGTGGGGATGTTGGGGGCTTAGGCGGTTTCGGTGTAAGGGGGAGGGGTACGGGGGAGTTCAGAGGCGCTCGGTGCTTTGGAGCCGCTATCGAACCCACGCGATCCGAATCGTCAGGCGCGAATGCCGTCGGGTGGCATTCCCGGCGTCAAGCTCGTTTTTCACAATCGTCGGCCGCCACTGCCGCCATCTCCCCCCTCACCACCGCCCATCGCCCACCACGCCCCCGTTCGCCCCACGCCCGACGAACACTTTTCCGGCCGACGACCAACGCCTTGGACCACGCCCGTGGCCCGTTTCCTCCTTTGTTGCCACGACCGCGACTCTTTTATTTCACTTCGTCTCACCCACTAGGGCTTTTCGGAACCAGAAATATTACGGCTTTCTCACTCACTCTCACTCACTCTCACTCACTCACTCTCTCTCTCTCTCTCTCTCTCTCTCTCTCTCTCTCTTTCTCTCTTATCGAACACGTGCAGTTTGATGAGACTCGTGCTGTACGCGATCAATACCTTTCCAGTCATCATATTCGTACAATCCTCATTAAGAATACGGGTGAGGTGATATCGTGACGACGCTCGGCAAATAAAACAGCCTACGGAAATGCTTATTCGATCGGTGATTGGGTATCTCAAACTCATCACAAAACACGAGGGAAAACGGACGTTGTGCCTTCTAAAATATAAATCTCGCCCGCGATAATCGCCAACTCGTTTCAACAACGAGCCGTAAAGCGCATTTCGTTAGGCCAGGGAGAATATTCCAGACCTCGCTGAATTTCGTGCCAACTTTGTCCACTAGCGCATCGAGTATCGGCGGTAAGCGGAAGCTCCCCGCGAGGCCCCGCGAGCTTCCGCCTCGGTATCAAAGAACCTATGAAAGAGGGGAGTCCGAAAGCGGAAGGCATCAGCCTACGTTTGTTGTTTGCGCAAGCAGCGCCACCTCCGTTAATCGGCCTGAAAAGTGCGAAGGAAGCAATGCGCGCGGCTCGCGTGGGCATTGCGCCGCTAAAATATCGCGAGCCCTTTAATCACGATCCTCTCGGCTCTCGGGCTCTCGCCTTCCGGCTTTCCTTTAACGGGTCCCCCCGATGAAGATCGTTTCGCGCCTGGTAATACCGCGCGAGCCAATGATTTATCGCAGCAGCGAATCGATGCTACATTTGCCGAGAGCAAAAGGAAATCCCGGTGACATTTGGCTGGGCAGGTTCGTTGTCGGCTTGGGGCCAAGGCATTTGCGTTTACGATGAAGCGGACATCCGTGTCGCGACCTCGCGGCACCGCGCGCTCCTTAGTCCTAGCGGACCGACGAGAGCCATAACGCTGCCGCAGCGTCCTTTATGCGACGATCTGTGAGGACAATGAGTTTTCACCGGTGCGTTCAAAGGCCGCGGCGTTCCTCTAATGGTCGGTGGAATTTTCGCTCCGCCGCCGACCAAACGGTGCGCGCCGGCTGAAACGCACCACTGCCACTGACAATGGGAGAAAAGCGCTTTGCGTCGGTGGCTCTCGACCCCTCCCCGCCACCTACATGTACGCACGCGCGCGAATGGGTGTGGCGCGGCCCTCCTCGAGCCCCGCGGTAAATTGAATTACGGGAGGCCCGCGCGCGTCCATCCGGCTAATTGGTGCTGCTGTTATTATGTCGTAAGGGCTCGGTGGAGGTTGGGGGAGAGCTCTATCGACGGGGCAAGACGAGCAGCGTGAGTTGGCAAGGCCGTGTGCTGATGCGCGGACCCGAGCCCATCGGTTATTACTCATTTTCGCAGACTCGCGGTCGCGCGTTCGCATTTTATTCGCGCCAGGGAACGGCGACTCGTGCGCGTCACTTTCCTGCGCGAGTAGCGGCTCGGCTCTGTCCCGCGCCGAGGAAAGTGAATCGTTAATCTTTGAGGGATCGAGCCGTAATAAATCAGGACTCTGGCTGCTCGTAGGCTTTGTGTTACTGTGTCAACATCTTATCATTTATCAAAAATTGCGTGCAGCGGGATTTACCGACGCTCTCCCTCTGCCCATTGTATTTTTCACCGCGACTCTCGTATAGTTAAAATACTTGGCGTATTTACCGTAGTTTACCGTATGTCGCTTCTCTTTCTGTTTAGCTCTCGTCCCCCTTTAACGCCACTATCCTATATTATTCACCTTCGTTTTCAATGTTTTGTTTCTCACTGCAATGAGAAGAATTACACTCCCGTAGTAATCAGCTTTAATATATTATTGAGATGACCGTGGGCTTTATTCAAATGTAAAAAAACCACATTGAGCATTTGTATTTACTCGGCACTTTCAAACGGCGTTTCTCCCTCCTCTGTACCCTCGTCCTCAGCCCCGACCGCACACGCCATCTTTAAATATAGATTTTAACAAATGTTTGTGAGAAATTAATTCGTTATTATCATTGTGCCACGATTGCGCGCGCGCGTTTACCTGGAGCGAGTATTTATCACGCATCTTAATAATTTCGAGTTACTTCAGCGGTAAATAGAGGATTAAGAGAGAAAAAAGAGAAGAGATAAATAATGGATGCCAAGCATTTCATTAATCACGAATATTACGGCGACTAAATTGTTAAAGCTTGTACGAGTGTAAAGGCTAAGGGGCACGACGAGTCAATTGGAAATAAATGGTCCCCCCTCTAAAACAATAACAATGCGCAATGGTTAAATGGCCAAGTGCAACTTGTTAATAGAATTGCGGGAATGGACGAGTGGCCAATCGATTTGCAATCCTTGTGCAAATTTGCAAATTATCGAGGAGTGGAAGAATATTGTCTACGATACGAGGAAGAGCCATCGATCATCGACAAGAAAATGCAATAGGGACGGTGGAAAGATTCGTACGCGCACAATCATCAGTCGCTAATTACGTGGGAGCTTACCAACACCCGAGATCATGTTAATTACCAAAGTAGTATAAATTCATTTGTTAATTAAGGTATTTGTAGCTTGCAAGTTACGATTACTTAACACGCCGATGGTAAGACGGTTAGCTATTTTATAAGGTATGTAAAAAAAAAACTTGTATGTGTATTGGAGCGCGTTGGAAAATAGGCGAGCGAGCGAGCGAGCGTTGGTACTTGAGTCTCTATCGCTGGTAATTGAATTCAAAACTTGCCGATCGACAAGAAAGCTCAAACAATCGATGTAAGAATCGCTGAACGACTCTGATGGATCGACTAGCCATCGATTACGCAGGGAATAGCCAGCCTTGACTCGACCAGCCGCAATTTCTCTCCGATCCTGCGATCCTCCGATCCTCCGATCCCCGTCTATCCCACGAGATTATAATCCCGCGAGAATGAAGAATCAACTTACCAAAGCCCATGCGCACTTCCTCCTCGTCGTCACTGTCGATGTGTTTGATGCCGGCTACCTCGAAGCTCCGCACCTCGGGGAGGCTCTGCTCGGCGACGCATCCGCAGCTCGTCTCGGTACCGCACTCGCATCCGTTACCGGCACACTTGCAGCCGAGGAGCGGGTCGTCGGTGTCGATATTCCGGCAAGCGGTACAGGGGAAGGTGAGATCGTCGATCGAGACCCTTTCGATCTTGCGTTCGACGGTGACAAGGAGGGCACTGATGTAGGCAGGTAGCTCAAGGTCCGAGACCTCCTCGGGTCGCGAGATACCCTCGAAACGTTGCTCCCCGTTAAGCTGCCGATCCCGGAAGCGCTGTTGTTGTTGTTGTTGTTGTTGTTGTTGTTGTTGTTGTTGTTGTTGCTGCTGCTGCTGCTGCTGCGGTTGCTGCTGGTGATGGTGGTGGTGGTGGTGGTTATAGTAGTGGTGGTGTTGGAGTTGCTGCTGCTGCTGTAGCTGTGGCTGACCTGCGACAGACTCGAGGCCGACGGGACTAGCGAGATCGTGGGGCGCGAGGACGCGGCTCCGCGTCTCGCACCGCGTCGTCTCCTTCCACTTCTCCATGGCCGCGGGCGAGACGACGCGCGTGCCTCGCTTCAGCTTGTTTCTCGTCTCAGACGCTATACAAAGCCAAAGGGAGGAGAGATTAGTTGGCGAGTCCGGGATCGTCGAACATCAGCCCGGGCCTACCCACCCTACCCGTCTATTCACCCTCCCGTACCGACGCGGATAACGAGCTCGGGCCGGTGACTTAATTAACCGACACCCCGTTATAACACCCCGCTCCAATGATCCTCTCGACGATCGTGTCCAAGGTTAATACGGATAATGAAGCGCTTAATCTTCAAATGCCTATCCGGCCTCCTTGCTCATTTACTGTAAATGGGTTTATCTATTCGCGCGCGCACCTATCCACTATTGGCCGCGTCCCTCCGCATTACAACGAATCAATTTCAAGCCGATAAAAATGCCTTGCTTGTGCCGTGATGAAATAAAGGGTCTACGAAAACAAATACTGGAGTCTCGTTACGGAGATGCATTTCTCCTTCCACCTCACTGACCTTAAACACGAACCTCTCTCGAAAGCAACCAATATATATATATATATATATATATATATACACACACGCATACACGTGCATACATACGCGCATATATGAATACAAAGTTGCGTGTGTATTATCGTGAGCAGAATTGATCATTACGGCTTATGATAAACAATAATTCATTTTCAAATCTCAAAAAGCAAATCTTTAATAATACATTTCATTTTAAATTGGAATATTGATTAAATTCACGCTCACGATCAATAATCAGAGAACGTAAATAGAACGTTTTGTTTCCAATTTACAACGCCGGAAGTGAACGAGATTATCGAAGATAAATAACTATACGCGACGCGATATTTGGATCCTTTAACAAACGTCCTTTATAAGAGATACCCTTTACCCGATAGACATTCGTTTGATCGATTAAACAGGATATCATCGCGCCTCTGATCCACCTTTCCTTACAATAACTGAAAAATCCCAGGAGATGAGCTTGCTTGTCTCTAGTGTTTAGTCCTTGACGGCAAGTTCCAGCCTACCTGCCTCCCTCCCTCCATCCCAAACTCCCTCGCTATCGAATCACATATTCGCGTAATGTTAGCCAAGACTTTGGGGCCTGCCACGGAGAAGAGGCTCACCGTTTAAGGAAAGGCCGTGGGCCTCGAGATTCCTGTTGGCGCATCTACCAGAGCTCGTGGATCTGCGCTCGCTCGCAGCTCTCGCCTCCTCCGCCCAAGCATCCACGCTCGAGGACGACTTTGATTTGACGACGTCGTGCCCGATGACGTCCAACGGCAGCTCGGTCCCGTTGTAATTATGCCTCTGTGTCGAGCGGCTCTCGTGGTGCGCTCGGTGACGATGTTGCTGATGCTTCTGCTGTTGTTGTTGTTGCTGCTGCTGCTGTTGCTTTTGCTGTTGTTGCTGCTGCTGCTGCTGCTGCTGGCGCTGCTGCAGATAGTCGTTGTTGCGCCACCTGGCGCTGGCCGAGTCCGCCGCGGAGGAGGAGGCCGACGAGGATGATGAGAGGCTCGAGGAGCCAGGCGACGGCTTGTGCGAGTTGGAGTTCGGCTCGCGCCAGTCCATAAACTCGTCCTCCCGGTCCCAGCCGAGTATCCCCGGGGCCCGCATCGGCGTCGCTCGCCACACCAGGGCTATCTATAAACCACCCAACGCGCGGAGAATTATTCAGCCTATTATTATGCAATTGGGACTCAATGAGAGTAATTAAGCGGACGCTAGCGGTAGCGGCCGATATCCGTGCGCCAGATAAATGTTTGTTTACGGCCGAGTGACCGTTAGCGCAACCGACGCTCGGCGCGGTAATAATATTCGCAAGCGCGTGTTTTCATTTTCCAGCGCGAATGGGCCCTCCGGTTCTTTATCAGCTTTAATGCTCCGTTGTGTCGGCCGGACTTTTACAGTGGGCGAAAACTTATGTCGGTCGCGAATTTAAAGAATAGAATAGCCTGGCGTCGCACCCGGCTCAGCGACCAATGCCAGCTAGTTTTTCGACTCCTAATTAACCGCGTTAGTGGGGAACGGGCAATTTTTTACTCCCTCGCGTCTGAAAATTAATATGAAAACGGGGAATGGGGCATAAGGTAGGGATCGTAATAGCGAGTGGACGACAAACTTCAAATAGGCTATGGCTTTTATTCGACGCGTTCGCCACTTAAAACTCATTCTATATTACCCGGTCCGCCTTATTCCTTTTATTCTGTTCATTGTGCATTTGGCATGAGATCGGTAACTTTATAAAATTATTTTGCAAAATCAAATCTCACGGATAAAAAGAAGCCAGACACGCTGCTCCACGATATATAAAAATCTGTAAGTGTTATTCTAAATCGAAGTAATATCGAAATTCTTATTTATCATAATTCATTACATTTCTCACATTATTATCTTATGCTAATACTTAATTTTCCTACAAAATCTTCGATTTACCATTTAAGATACTAATATTTTTGTCTTTACTACATTATCTCTTTTCTTTTCTTTCTTTTAAAGGGCAAAATTTCGTATTATAAGGCTTGCAAGGGTGAGGAATATTATATAAATTATACCTTGTTATCTATGAATTTTATTTAAAGTGAAATATACAAGTTTTTACTTTTTTTTCTTCCCAGTTTCATACATAAGAAATATCTTGCAATATTTATTGAAATTCCATTTTTAATTGTAAGCGATTTTAATGTTTAGCTCTTTTGCGAGAATATTGTATTTACGATTATCAACTTTAACAACTAATTCCAAATCTCAAATGATAAAATTTCATCATACAATCGCGCCTTTATAATTAAAAACAATTCGATTTTCTAATAACTATTCATAAGAATTTTTATTTTTAACTATATTCTCTTGCATGTAGATTTCCAATATTATAACATCGGATTTGTACAGTTAATATTTGCTTGTGTAATGCATCTTAGGAATTTCCTCTGTCTCCTGCGATAAAAAAAATTTTTTTTTTTTTGTTTTTTTTTTTTTTTTTTTTTTTTTTTTTTTTTTTTTTTTTTTTTACATAGTTGCGTACTTTAATATTAAAAGATTCGAAAGATAAATGCTGAGCTCCATGGATCATTAACAATTTTTTTCACCACAATACATAATCGTGAATGATCGTGCAAATAAAAACAGTACTTGTTTGCCAAAATCTCATGTAAAGATACTAGAAAACGTATGCTTAATTGCCTCGCTTCGCGACAACACGAACGACATGAATTTTATTTGTTATCGATGTCTATGCTCTAATTTTTTTTCTCTTTTCATCTTTTATTATCAACGAGGGCATTTTCAATAATCTCGGTCGACCGGAAAATCTCATTGCGCGCAAAGGACATGCAAAGTTTTGTCGATCGAACCGTTAGAGATAGTTTAAAATAATGGGACAGCGAGACGCATGTATTATTTATTCCTTACGAACCACTAATTACACGTTAAAATGATTGCAGTTGCAGATATACCGAGTGCATTCGAGTAAATAGCTCGATAGTATTGTACAATTGGTTTGTGCAATATCCTAACCGTTTAGACATGGAAGACTCGGACGTGGCGTGGTGGTGGTTTGACTCACCTCGACAGTATTCCTCTCGAGCGCGTTAGCAGCTCCAGTAGCGGCTCCGGCGGCGTTGGCGTTGCCTTGCTGTGCCGTCGTCGCCAGGGTAGTCCTCGGGATTGTCGTCGCAGTCGATTTGGCGCTCGCAGCCGCGCTGCGCACGCACAGATAGCATTCCCCGAGACGAAGCGCCGAGGCCTCCAACTCGCCCAACCTGAGGACGAGTCCGTGGCCACCGAGGGTCAGGGGCCAACCTTCGGGTATTACGAACTCGTTACCCTGCAAACGAAAAGTAATATATGAGTGGATAAAGAAACTTTTTCTTCTTACTGGCTTCCATACTCAAAATGGTATATGTATATACATATATGTATGACTGCACACAGGTGTGTAAACATGCTATTGTCAGAGTAATAACTTTGGAATTTGTAAGATTAAGGTTTTCGCTAATATTACACGATTATAACAACGTTAAATGTAGCCAATCAGCCTTCCATTAACTATATAATTGAATGGAGCTCACCTCTCATCCATCATCATCCAATATATTTGAATTATTCCAGTAATATTTAATCATCTCCAAATTGCCATGCTCCGAACGATACCCAATCCAGATTAAATACTAAATGATAAATTATAATCGATAATTTTGCTATTGGGTATTTTGGATAATATTTGTAAAATCATAAAGTTAATGTGGATGTTGGAGAAGCGAGGAATAAGCAGCGAAGAACTAGAGCCGTCCATTAGTGAAGTCGAAATATCGGCGAAGCGAGCTACGACAAAAGGATATACGATCTAACGAGCCTAAGGACGTTGATGTCCGGGGGAGAGAGCACCGCGCATCCTCGGAATTTAAACCCGCATCCGTTTGCGGGTGAAAAAGGGCACGGGAATGCAGATCCGCGGCGTCTCTCCCCACGTTCCCAACGTGTTCGACGCGCGAGCGAAATGAAAGCGCGAGGCGGAAAAATGCTCGGCTATTTCCAGCCGGACGTGTGATCCGCGCGCCTGGAAATCCGAAAACCCGGACCCTAAGGATCAGCTTCACTGGGACCGCGGCGGCCAGACTGAAGTGAAAATACGTGTTCATCGGATGCTCGAGCCTCGCCGAGTCGAGGGCTTCCCTCCACCCCCGCCCCCGTAGGTGTTCGGGACGGACGACAAAGTCGCAGGCATGACTGTGTGAGGATTAATAGCGTATGGATTACCGGGAGTCTCTTATTTTCCGATAACTGTGACACGCGCGTAATTGTTAATGCCTGTCGAGTGGATGCTGTATATCAATGCTTTTCTATTTGCTTGTGGCGCTGTAGCGTTACTCCGTAATATTGGGTAGCGAGCAATTGTTAAGGTACGATTAACGAGATACGTGGGGGATTTTGATATTATGGCGCAACGCACCTTCTCCGTCCTCGATATAAATATGGTCGGTGTTCCTCCAATAATTTAACTCGCCAATAATCAAGACGGATAAATTTATAATTTGAGGCAGCGGCGATTGAAGGTCGACGATGGAAGAGAATGTCGTGGGTAAATAGGCGTAACATTTGTTAATTTGAGAACATTTTGTATATAACGAGTGTACGCGTAATAATTGCCCATTATAATGTGTATATTAGCATTTAATCGATAATGACTAATTCGCGTGAATGCTCGTTGTGTTGTTTATGCAAACGTCTATGGGCCCAGAAACGTCTGCTTTCCATTCGAAATAGCACAATTTCTTCAAATCGCCAATACCGATTATTTGGCTTGAATAAAGATCATTGGGGGTACCACCGTTGTTGCAATAAGCCCCAGTTTCCAGTGATTCTCTTCACAATTAGTACGCATAATAAGTGTTAAGTAAACGAGTGTTTTGTTAAAACAACCACGTTAATCAGCGTGACGGGAATTTCAAGCGACATGCGCAAAAAGTGGAAAGCTCGAAGACTTTGAATTTCAATATGGACCGATGATTTCCCACATCGTTCATCCGTTGGAACAACGCTGGCACAGTACTTGTAAGATTATTCCAGAGAGGCACGGCTAATGTATACACCGCACGATGATTTCCCCTCGCAAGAAAGTTCGTCATACAATCTCAAGAATGCCACTCACGCGCTCTTTCCTATGTAAATATTCACCGGTTTCAATGACAACTCAGTTCTCAAACACTCGAGTTCTCATTACTCCCTCACGATTTCGTCTGGGATGAGAAAACGTCTTGGCTGCCGATTCCCTTCGGACTAAGCCGCCCCTTGCGTCACACATCCAGCGTGACAGGTGAGGGATGAGTAGACGCTCGCGACTTAACGATCACCGCGATACCTCGATCGAGTGTATTATCACGGCCAAATAATCGAGCATTAATGTTGACTCGATTTCCAGCGCTCGTCCTTTCTTCGACTCAGGACCAAGTGGAAACTACGTTTCGCACGAATATCGCATTGGTTAAGTATTAGTCATATGGGTTGATAAAATGCGACCCCCCTTCTCCTCGGCATACCAAGATAATGGCCGGCGATGCTTTCGTTTTCGGAACACTACTACCGATCTAATACCGATATTCGTAAATACGTCGTAGCGGATTTATGACTCTAACGGATAAAAAAGACACTACTTTAATGTCTTTAGAGTGTTGTTGTTGTTTTTTTTTTTTTTTTTTTAATACCGATACTCTGAAAATTGACGCTATTTATTCATTATTTTCATTTCGAATTAACAAAATTTTATTAACTCTCGCACGCGACCTCTCCCCCCCCCCTCCCTCCCTCCCT